TCCCGCGGGGCGCGGGGTCACCCCGACGGCTCCCGACGCCCGTACCCGCTGTGGGCTGAGCGGGCTGCACTCACCCTGCTGCAGGAAGTCCTCGAGGAACATGGCAGTGTCCCCCACCAGCTCCAGTGGCCCCCGGCCCGTGTCCCTCTGCCTCTCTCCCAGCGCCCTGCCCTTTGCACGGGGCGGCCGCTCTTATCTCCCTGCCTTCCCCAAGACGGCGGCTCCGGCAGCACAAGGTGACGTCCCAGTGGTCCCAGGGCTTCCCCTGTGCTGGGGCTCTCGTGCCTGCCCTGGCCCGGGATGTGCCCCCGCTGCAGCTCCAAGAAAAGGGAACACAGACCTGACCTGTCCGGGGGTGTAGGACCAGGGTGAACCACAACAAGCCACGTTCAATGCCACCGTTTATTGTGCACGCTTGCCAGCTCCAGCTTCAAGGCTCAGCTGAACTTCCCAGAGGATTTTCTGTGCTGCAGCCACCCGGAGAGAGACAGCACACAGAAAAACCTTCCCGGCTGCGTGCAGCCCGTTTGGAGACATCCCAGAGCACAGAAATCCCTGGGATGCAGAGGGCTGGGACTGGCTGTGCCCCCGGCACAGGCAGACCCGGCTGTGTCTTCTTCAGCAGTGCTGAGGTGACAGTTATTAACCCAAATCATCTGGCTGCTGCTTGTGCTATGAGTGCTGGGACTGGGCTACCATGGCTGCAGACCCCTGCGGGCACACGGATGCCACCCCGGGCTCCTCTCCTGTGTCCCTGGCAGCCCCTGCCCTCCCCAGCCCTGGCCGAGCTGCTGTGCCCCAGCCAGGGAGGTTCATCTGCGCCCCAGACGGGCCATCAGCTCAGCATTGGCGGCTGCCTTGGTCTGCAGCTCCTTCTCTCTGGCCAGGTCAAGCAGCACTTCCAGTACATGGGTGGGGACATCAAGTGAAAGGGACACTTTTCTCACTCTTTTCTCAGGAGCAAGTCTCTTGTTAGCTGAGCTCGTCGGCCAGGAAAATGCTTTTCTTGCTGATCCCTCCAGCAGAGGCAGGCTGCCTTTGTCCGGATGAAACCCTTCCCCAGAGCCATGGCCTCCCCTCCTCGTTTCGGGGAGACGTGGCAGCATCTTGCTAGTGTTGGTGGTTTCCTGCCTCATCAGCTTGCCTCCGTATCCAGCTCTGGGGGCTGGTGGGAGCTGCTCGTGGCTTGGCCCCTTCCAGGCTGTCGTGGGTGCCCCGAGGACCACCAGGAAGGTGAGCAGAGTCCTGCAGCTCAGCATGGTGGGGAACACCTGCAGGGAATGCACGGGCAGTGCTGAGCATCATCCCCCCAGCATGCTGCCATGGCCCTGCAGGACCCCCCCAGGCAGGACGTGACCCCAGTGGGGTGCCACAAGCACAGACCCCCACTTCCCATGCCAGCTGGCCGTGCCTGGGGGCTTTTGGGGAACCTTCAAGTTTTCCACCCTGATTTTAACCTTTTTTGCATCGGGAGGGGAGTTTTGGGGAGGTTGAAGAGGATGTGGGAATTAAATCAGCTGGGTGTTCCTGTCCTTTACTGAAGCCGTTCGCAGTCCCCTCCATTTCACATCCTCCAGCCCTTTGCCACCTATGGGAAGGGACATTCTGTCCTGGGTGGGTGGCAGAGTGGGGACTGTGGCCACTCCCCAGCCCAGACCTGCCCTTTGGCCAGGGAAGTGTGACGTGCCCAGGGTTCCAGGGCCAGGCAGGCTTTCCTCCTCCCACGCCTTCCCCAGAAGATGCTGTCCCTTGACAGGGCTGCTCTCTGGGACAAAAGCCAGCCCACTGGGAGGGAAACTTGGCTTGAAATAGACATCAGGCCAGTGACAGCAGGGTGACAAGTGCATGACCCTGGCCACACGCACTGAGCCGTGCTGAGCTCAGCATCTTCCTCCACCCCGGTGTGGGGACACCACTGCACAAACCCTGCTGTGTGGCCACCTCTCCCCCGAAATCAGCCAGCAGAAGGGTTTGCTCAGCTGGAAAGGGAGCAGCAAAACACATCCAACCTCCTGCAACCCATTTCCAGGGTGAAAACCCTTTGGAAAGTACCAGACTGGGCAGCTGGAGGAGGTTCAACTCACTGGGAAGTGGAAATGAAAAGCATCCAACCCTCTGCAACCCGTTTCCCAGCTAAATCCCCCTTGGAAAGCACCAACAAAGGGTGCAGTCTCACCATTTCCAGTAGATCCTTGTCCCCCAGACGTTTAGACGAGGCTCCTGGGATGTGGGAACCATGAGTTGGGGGTTAGCCCTGCTCCCCTCGGAGCCCTGCTTCTTATCCTGCCCCCAGCTCCACCTCCAACCCGCAGAGGGGGTGATGGTGACACGCAGGGGGACACACAATGTTATTAATACACTTTGCCTAATAGCAGATGAAATCATCCCAGGCCGTGGGTGGGTGTTTGCCCTCTCAGCTCCATCCACTGCATTTAGAGAGGATTCCTGGAACCCAGGGCGGCTCAGGCATAATTATTCCACATCTGACTTGCAAGATGTTTTTTTTTTATCCGTCTAATTGACCCTTCCTGCTCCTGTCAGCCTTGGTTAGTTACTTAAGGAATGGAGAAAATGCACATGCATGTCACTGCTGGCCACTGTCCATGGCACTGGCAGCAAGCACCAGCCCCCCAGCACTGTGCCACTCGAGGCTCCTGGATGTCTCCCAGTGCCGGTTTGGTGCTGCTGTCCTGATAGACTCCTGGCCCTGGCCAGCTGGAGGATGTATCTGGAGATGTCACCTCCCCACTGTGCCAACCCCAGAGCATTTCTTCAGCCACTGGTTTGCACACAGCTGCACAAGTTCAACCAGGACATGATGGGTTTGCAGCTCAGCTGCACCAGCCCAGCCAAGGGGGAACCACTGGTTTGCACGTTCCCTTCACCCAATCTGACTGGGATACCACCGGTTTGCAGTCCACTTGCACCAGTCCAGCCTGGCCCAGCTCCTCTGCCAGCTGCCTGTGGTGGGGAGCAAACTGTTGGGTAAGCCCCACACAGAAGGGCTTTGCCCCAAAGCTCCCCCCTTAGTGGCTGTGGGAGCACCCGGGGGCTCCGAGGCTGGGCAGGCACCCACGTGAGATGAGTTGGTGGGTGCTCAGCCTGGACGACTTGCCAGGGCAAGGAGCCAGGGTGTCTGGGGCTGGGCCTCAGCGTGCTGGGGGTCTTGACCGCAGGCTGACCGACCCAGTGGCAGGGAGAGGAAAGAACACCAGCTCTGTTCCTCCTGGGGACAGCCAGGAACTCACTCCCAGCAGCCAAAATTAGCCATGGGTGCTGATTCACCCAGCATGTCACACAGCCCCTAGTGCTGCCACGTCACGGCCTGGGTAGGGGGTCACGGCCTGGTTTGTGTCAGCTGGGCACGTGCTGGGCACAGGGATGGGGGGTGAGGACCCCCAGCTGGGGCTGTTGGCAGTGAGCAGCTGGGAAGGGCATCCCAGCTGGGGTGGGCAGGGGGACACGCTGGCTCCAGGTCTGTCCCCAGACCAACCCACGGGCACCTCCGGTGCGTGCCAAGAAGCAGGGCAGCTCCCGTCAGCACAGCTTTAATATCTCAGCCTCCTCCCACATCAGTCCTCATATACATTCGCTGTATACAGATACACACAGAGAGCAGCAGTACATTTGGGTGCCACAAAGCCCACCTGGCAGCCTGCAGCCCCCCGGGGGGTGGGGGGCACATCCCCCCTGGGCCCTGGGGCAGGCAGGGTCTGTGGACCCCCAGGAGCTGGCATCGCTTTCCCAAAGCCACGGAGAGCGAGCGTACGTGAGCAGGAACCTCCTCTAACCTAGCACCATCCTCAGGGTTTCCCCAGCAGGCTGGGGGGTGCATGTGAGCACTCCCAGATTAAAGAGAGATGTGCAGCTGGCAGGCATGCAAACCGGAGGGCAGCAGAGGGAGGAAGCCTCTGCCTGCTCCTCAGGTCTTCGCCAAACCATCGCAGCCACAAAAGGGGAAAAAGGTCCCAGTCGAGGTTAAGGTGAAATTTATTCAGATGGAGCTGGTTGCAGGGTTAGGTGGTGAGGGAAGTTGTGCAGGGAGATAGCACCTGGCCCAGGGATGCAGACAGCCTACCCTGGCAGAGAGTGGGGAGCAGGGTGGATTTTTGGGAATCTGGAGAGGGGGGCAGGGGAAGAACAAGGATGTTAGATGAGGCAAAGAAAGCCCAACCATGCCAAGTCCCAGCTCCATTCCTGGGCACAGGGCAAAGACCCACCCCGTTGGCAGCAAATAAGTTAAAAAACAAACTAGGAACAGTCCAGAAAACCTCTGGGTGGGCAAGGGGATTAAGAGCCTTGGAGGGGGTGTGGACTCCCATTTGGTATAAATTTCACCTTAACAGGTAATAAAACTGATATGAAAGGAAAAACCTGTGAGCAGCAAAAAGACACATTAGAAATAGCACCAGGTTCCTGCTGGGAGCTGGTGGGCACTCGATCCCTGCCCCCATGAGCAGTCCAGCCCCAGCCAGGGGCACAGCCAACCCCTGCTGCCAGGCAGCCCTGCCTGCCCGGACACTGCCAGCACCTACACCTTGGGCTGCCCTCCCTCCTTGCTGCTGGAGACACCGGGGGCACCTGCGGAGAGAGGCGAGGCAGTGTCGGAGCCGAGATGGGGACCAGCATCCTCCCCGTGCTCCGCAGCCGCTGAGCCCGCGGCCCCGGGCGGGGACGCTGCCGGCTCCTTGCTGTCAAAGCGGTGGGGGTTCCCCCGGCAGCCGCTGTAGACGAAGGGCCGGCACTCGGTGGCTCTTTGGTTGTAGTACCAGCGCAGGGTGTAGCGCTGGCAGTGCCCCTCGTCCAGCGGCAGGACGCAGGGCTGCGCTGCGGGGCCAGGGGCGATGGTCAGGGCAGGCAGGAGCCGCGGCACAGCGGGGGTGGGCGCAGGGAAACCCCAGCAGGGAAGGGCAGGGGATGGGTCCCGGCTGGGTGTGGGCAGGGTTTGGACAGAGGGGGCAACTCGTGCCCGGCCTGGGCAGTAGCAGGGAGGGCAGGGAGGCTGCTCTGGGCAAAGCCTCTCCTGGAGGGGGGCAGCTCCCAGCAAACGCCAAGATAGGGCTGGGAGGGTGGTGGTGTGGGGACACTGCTGCCAGCACTCCTTGGAAGGGTATGAGGAAGGGCACTCTGCATGCTGCTGCTGCTGGGGCTCCCCTGCTCGGCTGGGCACCTTGGGACCCCCTTCTGCAGCTCATGTCTGGGAGCAAGGAGAACCTGCCAGGGGCAGCAGGTCCCACTGGCCCAGCAAACCACTCATCACTACTGGTGGTGGCTTCAGTGAGTGGGGAACAGAGCATGAGGTCGCATGGTGTGCGCAGCACGGTGCTGTGATGGAGACCATGCACCTGCTTGGGGGCCAGCAGGAGGATTGCAAATCCCAGACCTCCCCAGCCAGAGGGCTACAAATCCCAAATCCCACCCTCAGCCAGAGGGCATAGGGACCCATTGCCAGGCAGGATGTGGAGGCATCACTCCAGCAAAGCCCAGACAACCCCTAGTGGTTCCATGCCTTGTGCCAGATGGGCACAGGGAAGCTCACCGCCCATCGCAGGCTGCTCCGAGCTGTCCTCCTCTGGGACCTCATCATAGTCTTCCTCCTCATACACACTGTCGTACTCGAGGTCATCCGTGTCAAGCATGACCTGCCTGTCCTCCCCTGGGAGACAGTGCTGGGCGTGAGCAGCCCCCACCTCCCCCTCTGTCCCCACCATCCTGCGGGGACCAGCCCTGGCTCTGCACACACCTGGCACACATCTGGCACACACCTGGCACACATGCACCCACAGCCCCTGCTGCCCTCTCCTCTCTCCACTCTTTAATTAAAGCCCTCTGGGACCAGCAGCATGGCCACTGATGGATTGTGCCCATGAGCAGAAGGCATGACCTGGGAAAAGGGGGACAAGGACAACACTTACCCTCCTCTTCTTCATTGTGTAACAACTTGAGCACAGGGACTGCCTGAGCACTTCCAACAGGGAATGGCTGGGTGGTGAAGAGCCCTGAGAGGGGAAGAACATGATGCAGACATCAGGGAGGAGCTCAGCAAGATGGGGACAGGGAGGCACATGTGCCCAAGGAGCCAGATCTTGTGGGTCCTCAGGGTTCTCCATCACCTGTTTGGCCATGCTCCCTCTCTTGGCGGATGCTTCTTCCTCCTCCCTGGGCAGAGTGGAGGCTGCTCCTGGCCTGAGCCCCCCAGCCTCCTTGGAGAGAAAGCACCCACCTCATCCCAGCCCACCTCTTGTCCCCATCCTTCCATCCCACTCCTTCAGCCCACCCTCCTTTCCAGCAGTCCTGGCCCTTGCAAGCCCTCCTGCCCCAGCTCCAGCACCCAAGCATGGAGGGGAGCAGTCCCCATGGTCCCTTCTTGGCCCTGGAAGCATCCAGACCCCATTGTCACCATCCCATGCCAGCTGCCCCTGGCAATTCCTG